GTATATATTGAGTGAGATTGTTCATGAAATGTATTCAATGCAAGCGTCTATCCACTTCACCAACAAAGCGCTAAACTTACTGAACATATTCATTTAAGGTACATTTATCGTGCGGTTTGGAAATAGTTTTCAACTTGTATTTGTTTAATTAATGTAATTAAATACACAACGAATTCAGACAATAGAGGCATAATATAATTATTATAAATTATCTCCCAACCCATTCTATTATAACCACCTGTGGTATTTGATGAATTGTTACAGCACGCAAATACTTTAAATTCTAGATAGCAGTGTTTGAGTTCATATTCCAGTGAAAGAATGTTCAAATAAATAAATCAAAATTCCTATAAAAAAACTAAACTCTGAAACATTTAACGTTAAGATTAATGATAGTTATTTTCTGTACGAAATCTGCTGTGGTCATAGTATTATTTTTACAATAGGTTTATCTCTTAGATTTGGTTTGCTAAATTGCTAATCATGGTCATGCAACTACATAGTTAGGTGAAGAAGCAGGCGCTTGTTTTGGTTGAGTCTATTATGTTTTGTTTAGGGGGTTGAGTTGTCATACACAAATTTACAATTTATATGCATTTATTTTTTTCCAATGATTGTTATTATCTTAAATGCTTCTGGGATTGTTGTTTTATCAATTCATTTGTAAATAAGATTGTTATATGTCTATTAACGGAATTATTTTAATGAACACGAAATTAGTTCACACCTACATGTGTATTGGTAACGTAATGGTTTAAGCCAATGAAAACACGTCAATATTATTATACTCAGGCAGAGAAAAAGTGTGCAAAGAGTAAATCGATAATCTTTATGTAGCCAGAAAACTTTGAATTGCAAGTATTTTTTCATATCTTTTCGGCAGGATAAACTGTCCGAGGATTCGTATCGTAAAATGGCTCCAATTTACAGTATCAAGTGATTATCCCAAGCACCACCGCGACTATGCGCGGGAATTTTAATTATAGCTAACCTCGGCGCGTATACCTTTTTCATATTTTATTGTAATAAATATTTACAAACTGTGTCTTTCGGGGTTTTTTTTATCAATATATAACCAATAATGAGGTTAATATGAATAAATAATCATATCTCAAATCTTTGACTATGATTTACAATGAAATTCTACCTTAAGTGTATTAAAAAGGTTTTTAATTTCCTGTAATTTTATTTTGTGATTATGCTTCAAAGCAGTCAATTGACCGTGAATTTTCTTTTCATATTTTAATTTCCTTGAAATCATTTTTCTCATCTGAAGGCATGCAACTTTAATATGGTGATACAGTCTTTAATCAAGTTTGCTCATATTAGTTTGATTGGTCCTGTTAAAGCTAAAGCTTAAATGCACTAGCATTTCTTTAAATTAAAGTTTAAAGATATTCTAAGCTCTAATTTTAATATAAAAAAATATTGACAATGGATACACAGTCTCCTTATAAATATAAATATGAAATATACGTGTTTTGACTTCACACAAAGTAGATATGTTATGTTTTAAACTCTTAACACTACTCGTGGTCACAGTATAAATATAATGATAGTGTCATTACAAAAACTTTTTTTTTCTTTTTTTTCTTTTTTTATAGAAAAGACCATCTTTACATTGCCTGTAATAGCATATGCAGTTTCCTGCACATAGTATATTTATTCTTTTATCCAAATAAGACATTTTCAGCAAGAATTTCATAAATTTCATTGGCTTGGGTCATGACCTGTTTAGGATGTGTAAATATATTTCAGCTCTGGAATTCGGACTACTATCATTGTAAGGTCAGTTGTAGGTCATTAACCAGGAAAAAAAATAGGCCTAAAGAAACATAAAAATTGTTTTTCCTGTACTTTACTATCAAAGATGAGTTTATCTGCTCAATTCTCTTATTGAATTTTGTAAAAAATTGTAATTTTTTCATTTTTTGTTGTTGAATTAACAAGGGACAAGGGGTTTAATTTCTGTTTCTGAATTGAATTTTGATATGAACTGGCTTACTTTTGATATATTTGATATCGCTTTACCTACTTTTTTGTCTTTTATGTACAGACTTGAAATTTGGACTATGGGTGTAATTTGTGTAATTTTTGATGTTGAATTCAATTTTGATACCAGCTGACCTACTTTAGGTATTACTGACATCATTTGACCTACTGTCTTGTATTTTGACATATAGATTTTAAATGTTGACTAGGTTTGTAAATTCTGATGCCGAAATAAATTTTGATATCAACTGACCTACTTTTGATATTTTTAATATAATTTGACTTTCATTCTTGTGTTCTTGACATACAGACTTTGGACTAGGGGTGTAATTTCTGATGCTGAATTGAATTTTGATATTAACTGGCCTACTTTTCATATTTTTTACAATGTTTGACCTATTGTCTTTTTTTGAGATACAGTTATGTTACCATACAGAATGTATAAAAAAAAATTGTCCCAAACTGTGAACTTCAAACAACTACACCTTACATGTTTTGCATGTGACATTTTGTGTTTTCATTCAAAAAAAGTTTTTAAAAAAATTGTCCAATCAAAAATAATCCTGCTCTAGTGGTCAGTTGTTCTGCATTTATTCTACATAGTCTCATAGGAACACACTTGCAACATACATATTTTAACAAATCCTTTCCAAAATATTAGGGCAAAATATTACAATTTTTATAGTGAATAATGAAATGATGGGTTAGATGAGTCATCTAGGGCCATCTTAGTGGTCCTATTGTTTATTATGAAGAAAAAAAGCTAAAACAATCAGTGTTGTGAAAGTATATTACTAAAGGGGCAAGTTAAAGTTGATCGAGCTGAACTGCCGAAAGAGCTGGACTTGCCTTTCAGCAAGTTCTTTTGAAAAATAATTTCCAACACTGAAAAACAGTTGTTTCTGGTGGGCGACTCAAGGCCATCATGACCCTCTTGTTTAATAATTTCATTTTTCTTGCGCAATTCTCTAAAATGAGACTTGGTTTTTCTATATGCGTTTCACAATTACCATTCACCATACCAGGTTGTAAAATAACTTAATTTGGTCCTTAAATCAGTTTTTACCACAACATCAAACTTCATTCAGAATTCATGTCACGTTATTGTGAGCAAAATTCTGAGTTTCCTTTAGATATGAACAAGAAAATGTTTATTACCCCCCGCCGAAAAGACGGATATAGAATAAGTCTCCATCCGTCCGTCTGTCCTTCCGTCCGTCACTCTACATTTTTGTCCGGAGCATATCTCAAAAAGTATCAATTTGAAACTTCATAGGTGGAGGTATCAACTTGAAACTTCATTTGTGGATAAATCATATTTAGGAAAAGTGCAGTGCACAAGAATGATAACTCTACGCTGCATATTTTTTTCATTGTTGCCCTTTGTTATTCTTCAAACTCAATTTTTGTCCACAGCAAAAAGCCTTTGAGATATCAACATGAAACTGCATGTGGATAGATCTCACTCAGGAGGTGTGCAATGCAAGAGTGATAACTGTACCATTTCTAAATTTTGAGTTATTGCTCTTTGTTATTTTTTCATACTTAATTTTTTCACCTGAGTGGAGCATAAATTAAACTAAAAAAACAAACTTTGAGATGTCAATGTAATCTTCATAGGTAGATAGATCTTTTTGAGGATGAATGTTGTGCGAAAGAATGATAACTCTAACCTTTATAATTTTGAGTTATTGACATTTGTTATTTTCTTACTTTTTGTCCGGAGAAATATCTAAAAAAGTGGTATAGGTAACAACTTGAAACTTTATAGGTGGATAGCTCTTTTTGATGAGAAGTGCAGCACACTAGAATGATAACTAACCGTGCATTATTTTTAAGTTATTGCCTTTGTTATTTTTCATACTTAATTTTGTCCAGGGTATAACTACAAAAGCCTTTGAGATATCTACATGAACCTTCAAAGGTGGACAGATCTCACTCAGGAGATATGAAGTGCAAAAGAGTGATAACTCTACCCTTCATAATTTTTAGTTATTGCCCTTTGTTATTTTTCATACTAATTTTTTCACCTCAGTGGAGCATATCTCTGAAAAAGTCTTTGAAATGTCAACATGAAACTTCATAGGTGGATAGATCTTTTTGAGGAGGAATGTTGTGCGCAAGAATGATAACTCTATCCTTTATAATGTTTGAGTTATTGCCATTTGTTATTTTTCAAACTTTTTGTCCGGAGCTTATCTCAAAAAAATGTTACAGGTAACAACTTGAAACTTCATAGGTGGATAGATCTTATTGGGGAGCATTGCAGCACACTAGAATGATAACATACCGTGCATTGTTTTTTAAGTTATTGCACTTTGTTATTTTTCATACTTTATTTTTGTCCAGGGTATAACTACAAAAGCACTTGAGATTTCAACATGTAACTTCATAGGTGGATAGATCTTACTCAGGAGGTATGCAATGCAAAAGAGTGATAACTCTACCCTTCATAATTTTTGAATTATTGCCCTTTGTTATTTTCCATACTAAATTTTTCACCTGAGTGGAGCATATCTCTGAAAAAGTATTTGAAATGTCAACATGAAACTTTATAGGTGGATAGATCTTATTGGGGAGGAATGTTGTGCGCAAGAATAATACCCTTTATATTTTGTTAGTTATTGCCATTTGTTATTTTTCATACTTTTTGTCCGGAGCTTATCTCAATTATTATTAATTGAGCCTTGATTTTAAACTAAATGTGTCTGTATTTCTTACCATCCTTTACTGGTTTTAGATTATCATTATTGTTTAATAGTGAAACGTACCCGGGGTCTGCTAGCCCGGACACACTTCAATATCGACACGTGGGTTCTTCTCAAACACACGTAAATGGATTAGGGAAATTAGGGACACAAGGAGTAAAAGATACGGACGCCTGAAATAAGATTAACACAACAATTTATTAAATATACATTTCACAAACAATAAAATTCGTATATAGTATATTCTGTGGATGGCTCTGGCTTGGGCTCCTCGTCTTAGGTCAGGAATATTCTTCTGTCACGTCTTGCCTGTGGTCTGGTACGAATTCTATGGTAGGATTTACCATGAAATGTTATAAGGTTGATGGGGTATCTAAAATGGTAACTACATAATACAGTGGTGTTCTACCCTGGTATATGGGTATCACTATAAAATATGGGGTTATGGCTATGGAAACTTGGTCTTCAGTCAGGATCTATCATAAATGGAAAATAATGCCAAACTGCCAAACTAGATGATTTAATATAAAACTTCTAAATAAACTATTACTGGCACGAAGTATTATATACCTTTCTGGTGGCTGGAGATACATCCATATTCATATATGGTATAGAATGAAACTAAGGTGTGGTCTGGTGGCTATCTACCAAGGTACTGACAATTTTGGCAGATTCGGGCTGCTATTTATAGTCTGGGACGCTGGGTGGCTAGCTTGGCTAGGGTGCCTAGCTTGGCAGTATCGTCATCGTCTTCGATGACGTCACTGCCAATCTCGCGCGGGCAGAAATTTAGCCAGTACCAGCTGCCATGTTTAAATTGGCAGCGTGTGGCTAATTGAACATTAAAACGGCTACAACGTAGAAAATAAGTTATTTTAAGTAATATAACCATCGTAAATATTAAAAGGATGAAGTTATCTGTACATGTAGTGTATGTTTTGATGATTAAAAGTTGATGTCATGAAGTACAGTTAATTACTTTAGTACTTGAGTAGTTTCCGGATACGGGTTTATTTTCGGACGTAAAATGATGGGCCTGATCGTTACATTGCACCCCGCTCACATGGATTCAGCCCCTGAATAGTAGGAAGGTAAGTATATTTACAGTCGGAAGGTTTATCATTTTACCTAAATAATGTCATTGGTAACACGACATAATGAAATAATTATATTATCGGGTAATTATCATTTGATAATTGGTTATTACACTAATTAGACAGAGGAGTTAATTAGTTTAACTGTATAATTTGTCAAACTTGGTATGTAACAGTTTAAGTCATAGACACATCATATTAATGCATATATAAATTATTATACATGCATAGTAATAATTAAAATTTGCTAAATATTTGCAAATTTTCCATGTAGGAACATACATGTACGTATTGTCGGAATTGACAATATAATTTATGGATGTTGTAAAATTACAACTTCAATTATATGGCATAAACAAATTAATCATATAAAGGGTCATGTATACAGGTAACATTCACTCGGCACAGTCAAACATTAAAATATCGCATTCAAATATAGAGCGCTCTATTAATACATTCATAAATAAATACATGTATTTAATATTTACAGTGAATAGAGAGCTTGGGTGTATTGGTTAGTTGGTCACCTGGAGAAGCGGTTATTACCAACTGCTCATCTAAACAGAAGTATACTTCATTACATCCTCAGCCTAAAATACACTCCTTACAGTGGGACACTGTACAATCATGGCTGGTACATTTAATAATATTCATAATAAATTAACACTTGGCTAATTTAAGCACATAGGCCGGCAAGTCATATAGACAATATATCATCATAGTAATTAAATATCATAACATATATGGCCAATATTTGGTACCCCCCAAGGTATACCAATAATAAAACTTCACTCTTTGATTTCAAAGGTGGCATCACTTCTTTATAAGTGGAATACAAAACATTGCACTGTTTTGGTTAATCATTTAAAATTTCAATGTCATCACTCTAAATGGTAATTAGCTGTCCATTAAATAACTTTTAGGTTATAATGTTTCAGGCTAATTTGATGGTAATGGTATAATGTCTCTTATTCTATTTGATTTCTTCATTTAGAGTAACGTTCTCCAGGTTCGAGTTTTGTTATTCTCCAGGTTTGTCATATTACGGGAAAAAGGACCACTCTGATGTGCAAGCAGAGGAACGATGGTGTCCACCTGAAGTCAATATTTTTGAACAACAGGGAGCGGGTTAAAGTGTCCACCAGATGAACAGGCAGTTGAGTAAACAGCTGTTCAAATGGGAGCAGGAAGGGGGTCCACCTGAAACTCATCAATGTAAAGGGTTGATTTGTAACAAGGAGCGGTGTATTTGGAATTCCATGTCTTCATTTTTGTTAAATATTCATCAGCTGGATTGGTAAGAATAGGTATACATTATTTATTTAAATATCACTTCATTTAGGATCATAAGTATCATAAAACAACAACAACAACTAGTTGGTTTAAACTTCCTCTTATTATTATAATAATTTAACTGTCTAGTCTGCTTGTCATGTATCTGTTAGATTGATCTCTTTTAAGGTCAGTTAAATCTCTATTAATTGACTCTAATGATTTGCAAATGGTATCAAGTTTGAGGTCTTTTCTTTCCTGTTCTGGGTCAGTGACTGATGCTACTAATTTATTTCTTTGTTTATCTGCTGTACGGAAAGCCTCTAATCTAATAGCTGCTTGTTCAGCTTCTAATAGGGTTTTTGGTGATATTTCTTTTAGTCTTAATCTAATCTCTGAGTCTGTAATTGCATCAATAAAGTGATCTAAGGCTATGGCCTCAATTACTTCTTTAGAAGCACTGGCATAAGTGTTTCTGGTCAGTCTGTATATATCTTGTGACAATTGAGAAATTGTCTCCCCTTTTTGTTTTACTCTGGTTTTAAGTTTGGCTTTAAAAATGTCTGTTCTATTGGCTGGACCATAACGTTGGTTAAGTAGGTCAACTAGCAGTTTATAGTCACAATGGTCTCTTGTATCAATTTCAGTCAACATTGATCGGGCATCACCCTTTAAACAACTAGCTAGGCATAATCCTTTGGATCTAATGTTCCAATTATTTAAATCACTACAAATTTGGAACGATATTAAAAATTCATTTAAGTCTTTAGTACCATCAAAAGTTGGGGGTTTCACTTTGATAGTGTTTGTATTTGACATTCTATATGAAGAGGTCTGGTCATCATAAGAAAAATTACTGCTAGGTATGTCAGTAGAATTTGAATTTCTATTTTCAAATATATCTTGTCTTCTTTCTATGTTTTAAGTCTCTGGTCTACAGCTTCTCCCATTGAAGTGAGAGCATTTTTCATTTGTGTAGCAATCTCAAGCATTTTAGCTTCAGATTGGCTAATATTGTCTTGTGCCAAAGAGGCTGGTCTTGAATAGTCTGAGTCTTGAGATAAAGAATCATCTCTATCTGTATTTGTATGGTCTACATGGACATCAATGTCCATATCAATTTGATTTTGTGCCATCTGGTAACGAATAGCAATATCAAGGTTGGTAATAATTATTCTATGTACTATTTATAATAAAAATAATAAAACTAGGTATAATGTATAATGTCTATTCCTTTCTGCTTTCAGGTTGGCCAGACAAGAATGCAGTCAGCAATGGGCATTCAAATAAGGCTATAATCATGCATCCAACCAACAAGTAAACTTGTTTGATTGAATGGTCAGCACCTTGGAAGATCAAAAATCTGGATCAGCAAATGAAATGAACTATGATACATAAATAATAAAATGTTCTGTCTCTTGGTCTCCTGGTTATTTCCCTGTAATGGTAAAGCAGACAACTGATTAATGGTTGATGATGGATCAATCTGGAAAATTATATAAATCTCATAAAATCATTGGAATCCCACTTCTGACACCAGTTGAAACGTACCCGGGGTCTGCTAGCCCGGACACACTTCAATATCGACACGTGGGTTCTTCTCAAACACACGTGAATGGATTAGGGAAATTAGGGACACAAGGAGTAAAAGATACGGACGCCTGAAATAAGATTAACACAACAATTTATTAAATATACATTTCACAAACAATAAAATTCGTATATAGTATATTCTGTGGATGGCTCTGGCTTGGGCTCCTCGTCTTAGGTCAGGAATATTCTTCTGTCACGTCTTGCCTGTGGTCTGGTACGAATTCTATGGTAGGATTTACCATGAAATGTTATAAGGTTGATGGGGTATCTAAAATGGTAACTACATAATACAGTGGTGTTCTACCCTGGTATATGGGTATCACTATAAAATATGGGGTTATGGCTATGGAAACTTGGTCTTCAGTCAGGATCTATCATAAATGGAAAATAATGCCAAACTGCCAAACTAGATGATTTAATATAAAACTTCTAAATAAACTATTACTGGCAAGAAGTATTATATACCTTTCTGGTGGCTGGAGATACATCCATATTCATATATGGTATAGAATGAAACTAAGGTGTGGTCTGGTGGCTATCTACCAAGGTACTGACAATTTTGGCAGATTCGGGCTGCTATTTATAGTCTGGGACGCTGGGTGGCTAGCTTGGCTAGGGTGCCTAGCTTGGCAGTATCGTCATCGTCTTCGATGACGTCACTGCCAATCTCGCGCGGGCAGAAATTTAGCCAGTACCAGCTGCCATGTTTAAATTGGCAGCGTGTGGCTAATTGAACATTAAAACGGCTACAACGTAGAAAATAAGTTATTTTAAGTAATATAACCATCGTAAATATTAAAAGGATGAAGTTATCTGTACATGTAGTGTATGTTTTGATGATTTAAAGTTGATGTCATGAAGTACAGTTAATTACTTTAGTACTTGAGTAGTTTCCGGATACGGGTTTATTTTCGGACGTAAAATGATGGGCCTGATCGTTACAATAGGTTTACTTAATTAATGTTGTTCATTATGTCTTATATATATATGATTATGTTTTATCGGATTTATGTAAAGCACTCTTGAACATTTCTTATTTATGAAAAGAGTGCTATAGAAATGTGGTATATCATAATAATAATAATAATAATAATAATAATAATAATATCAAAAAGGTGTTAGAGGTATCAACTTGAAACTTATTAGGGGGATAGATCTCATTGAGGAGGAGTGCAGCACACAAGACATTTAACCTACCGTGCATTATTTTTCAGTTATTGCCCTTTGTTATTTTTCATACTTAATTTTGTCCAGAGCATAACTACAAAGGCCTTTGAGATATCAACCTGAACCTGTTGTTTTTTTTTGGTGTTTTTTTTTTTGTGTGTGGGGGGGGTTTTGTTGTTGTTGTTGTTGTTGTTTTTCGCCGTGACAATCATATTGCTGCATTTCCCACCAATTTTTTACTTGTTGATTATTTTGTAATGTTCTTATATGAACAAATATACATACAGGTGAAAGCAATCATGGTTTTGTATTTCATGACCTTAAAACAATCTTCTCTTAATATTAATTTGATTTATGTGCAATCATTAAAAAACACTGATTGGCTCCCGAATGCGGAGGCTTCTTTAGGTCATGTTTATTTACTTTCGATGCATTTTCATGGACTTCTGTCATTTACCGGGATCAGGGTAAATGATGCAAAAAAAATATTATTTCTGTTGTTTATCTTTTCAAATCTTGGTCTATGAACCACAACCTTAAGTGATTTGTATTAAGGTAATTTGTATGGGGTTGCGGTCATTGTAATTAAGGTGTTGTTTTTTTTTTTGCTAAAACTAGATAAGTCTTTCTTACTTAATGTATGGTTACACCCAAGTGTATTGTAACCAAACGGTTGACCTGATTTCCTAAAAAGTTTCAAAATTTAAACAGGCATTGTTTGCAATATTACCATAATTTTTGTATTACCCAACCGAAATTATTTAATTAAGGCGAAAACTGAAATATTTGCATTAAATATCGTGTTTACTTTATATATTAAATGCAAACGATGCATATAAAAGTTTAATCATTTTTATAATATCTTAAAGCATACATTTTGATAGGTCATTTTGTTAATATGTTTGTCAAATGATTTTACAAGTTTGTAAATTAAAATTGTCGATGTCTTTCAAAACATTTTGAGACATTATTTAATATTTTAGATCACGTTTTAACCATATAAGCTATTCAAAATCTTTTGATATAAACGTTGTAAATAAATAAATGTTAAATGACGTATTAGATAAGACTTAATGTCGTTATTATAATGTACGAGGTTATAAGCCTTTTTAAGATTGATCAACCTGCCCGATAAACAATATGCCTGTTGTTAAATTCTAGGCATTCATATAAAGTTTACGTTAAACACTGTTATCAGACACTTGTTATTATAGGGAATTGATCGATTGCTCATAATGTAAGATAAATTTACAATATTATACAAAAAAACATTGGTTACTATCCGTCAGAAGTAAATATTGAATTAGTGGCCAGGCCAGTCTTATATTGTTTTTAAGATAAATATGAGTCCAATATAGCCGAAATTGTAAAGAAAACGATTATTTTATACTTTGCAAATTTGATGTTTATAATTGAGCATTTGCATTGTCATTCTACTTATTTGTTGGATGATTTTTTGGTTTATACCGATTTTTTTAGTAATACTGTGTAAGGTTGGTGGTTTAACTGAGGCAACCGATTGTGTTTGCAATAATGCACGAAGAGATATCTGAGGTCTCACATCACAATTTGAGATGAAATATCGCAAAAAAGTCATTTAACCTTAAACGTTAGACCGCTGACGCCCAAATTCTATTTTTAGAAATTACTATATATATACACAAATGAGCCATATAGACAAACATGTTTAATATAATAATTAATAATTACATAATTTATTGCAAATGAGGTCATCTTTTCATATTTGCCAAATTAATATCCGGTTCTGGGATCTTTTTCAGTATTTTATACCTATTTTTACTTATTTTTGAGCGTTTTATCAAGACTAATTTAATTGTAAATTTTGAACCGTTTGAATTTTAATTTGGTTCTTCTCGATAAAATATTATAGTGTTGTAATTACGCGCCTGCGCAAACGTATACTAACTGTAACATCCTTTAGAATATGACACAAACATTTTCTAGCATTCATTTAAAGATAACATTTTTGTACAGAGTTTAAAGAAAAATGAACAATGGACAAGTACCACACATAGGATAATGTTGACAACTGCTGACAGCACATATGACGATGCAACAAAGTTCGACTTACAAGTATACGTAACAGACACTACCGACCATGACAAACGAAGATCAGTCAGATCAGAGGTATGGTTTATTCCCGTCTTTAGGTTTATTTCATGGTACTGTTTAAAGATAAACCTAAACAAAATTGAATATTGTATTTAAAGGTCTTTATTTTAATATTTTGCTACAATATTTATTGATGGCTTCTTTTGTCTAACAATTAGTACATGTGACATATAGTTGATTACTATATTTTATTTTAATGTCTTTTTTGTTTGTTTGTTTCAGACTATAGGTGCCATTCATGTGAGTGTATTAATTTTTATTTTAAACGACGTCAGTTATTTAACATAAAGACGATCATAGAATGCTTAGGAAGAAACAAAATTGTAGAAATTCCATATTAATCGTTCAACATTTCTTAAAAAGCAGGTCCTTATTGTCTTAATATAATATGCGATTTCAGACACAAGAACATGTGTAATTACTTTACAGTTATCTTAAGAATGAAACAGTTTGATGTAATTTTCAGGTCACAGTAACAGACAATTACAGACATCGGAACAAAAGATGTTACTCACACGTCGATCCACATATGAGAACTGTAGACGGATTGTAAGATAATATTTATGAATATTTATAAATATTCTACAAAATATTTTAGAGGTTATATAAACTAAATTTACGAGGGGACTTCAATTCCGTAGAACTTGATATTTTTTATATAATACAAGATATTGTTTTTACATTTTTTTAAACCTGTGTTAGTTGCATGACAACGAC